CAAAATAATCACTTGGCTAAGAATTGTGCACACAATACATAGTAAAACAGATGAAACGGCAAGCACCCATTGCCACATTTTGTCTTCCTGTTTAGGGTATGCGTGCAGCTCATGCAGACTGCAAGATGTTCCTCTTTTTTTGAATATCACACGAGTTTCCTTTGTTTACAGAAACGTCGGAGGGTTAATTGGACTCCAGTGCACCTTGTTTTCTCTGTGGACGTGCGCCTGAGTAGTTTAGTCACATGTCATTCCTCCTGCTGAGTTTTACAGCACTGAAAAAGAAAAGAAACTAAGAAAAAAAGCACTTAGCAATTGTTAGACTTAAACGATACAAGAATTTCAATTGCATAATATTTTATCAGCTTACTAACATCCACTATTTCATCAGGCTGACATTATCCTGCTTGTGTTTGTCTCCGAATAGCCATCAGGTACTGTAACTTCTGTCAAGTTATCAAACCTGACCGCTGCCACCACTGCTCATCATGTGAAAAGTGAGTCTTTCCTTTAAATGTACAAGTTTGTTTTTAATTCATCCGAAAAAAGTGTGTTTCAAGTTAGCTCATCTTTAATGTTTTTTTTTTTGTTTTTTTTAATTTTGAGAAGAACTGATGTGAATATGTTGTCATTCAGGGTTCCTACCGATTTTTACATTTCAAAGCTCAACATCTTTCCAGACCTGACAAGTCCTTGTATGAACCCAGGTTATTTAAATCTAATGCTACGGCCTTCACCTTCAACGGGACTGTGTATCGATATTTATGTTGGAGTTTGAGATTCTCCAACATAATTAGGAAAATTACTCTTTGAACTTAATTATAATGAACTCATCTGGAAGAAACTCATATTTTTGTAACTTCAAAAGAATTGAATTTACAAATTCAAATTTGTGAATCAACACACGTTGCTAATTGATGTATTGTTTCTTTTTTGTATCTGTAAACAACAAAACATTGTCATTCTCACACACTGTTAAAGTTGCAAAACTTAATTTTGTCAAATGTTTCTGTTATAGTTCTTCATAAGGCAAACACTTTCCAACGATTTGGTTCTGAGTATCTGACATCAAATAATGTAAAAAAAAAAAAAAAAAGAGCCTTAATGTAAATTAACCTGTTGGAAAAAAAAAATATATATATTGTTAGGTTGAGGCGATAAATATGTTTCAACAGCTGATTGTGTACTTGAAAGCTTCTGTGATATTTTATTTTTGCTCCTCTTTGATTATTCTTTTTATATATCCTTATTGTATTTAATGAGTAGAAGAAATATTTAAGTTGGATTGTTTTTTTCTTTTTTCAATGCTCATATGGTTCTGTTTTTCTATATTTCCATTTGTCAAGGTGTGTGCTGAAAATGGACCATCACTGCCCCTGGTGAGGCTTTGATTCAACAGATGCATTTCATTTTTTTTTTTTTTTTTTTTTACATTTTTTTTTTCAAACATGTTATTAAATGTGGAAAAATAAACATATAAAAATATAAATCCATTCTAAGCTGCTGGTTTTCTCCAACTTGTCACTGATTTTGTTTTTTTCAGGGTGAATAACTGTGTTGGGTTCTCAAATTACAAGTTCTTCATTCTGTTCTTGGCCTATGCAACGCTCTACTGTGCTGTTATTTGTGCAACTGTTGTGCAGTACTTCGTCAAATTCTGGACAGTGAGTAGAGAAGCTTCCTCTAAAATACCCATTTAGCAATTCACTTCTGCTCTAGTTGTTTATCAAACTGATGGGCTGTTCTTTTGTGGATGGATCGTGTAGTAATGTTTCTATTAAAGATGTGATATTAGGAATTCAAAAACATTACTAGAGAAATTTTAAACATGAAAAAGTTGCACAAGTGAAGTTTCTCGCACTGTTTTCTTTTTGTCCTCTCCTCTTTCAGAAACAGCTCCCTGACACACACGCCAAGTTCCACATCTTGTTCCTGTTTTTTGTGGCAGCCCTTTTCTTCATTAGCATAGTGTCACTTTATAGCTATCACATGTGGCTTGTGGGGAAGAACAGAACCACTATAGGTAAAAATATAAACCAGTGCTTTGCTTTCATTCATCTTCTTGATCCTTCCTTAAATATTCATCACTGACTGAATAAGAAAAATGTTTGTTTTTTTTGTTGTTTTTTTTCCAGAGGCTTTCAGAGCTCCTGTTTTTGCAAATGGTCCAGACAAAAATGGCTTCTCTCTTGGCATTAAAAGAAATATAGCTGATGTGTTTGGAGAAGAGGCAAAGTACTGGATTTTTCCAGTTTTCTCAAGGTCAGCCTATTACAGTATTACACAATGAAGAAAAAATGAAACGTTTGGGCTTAAATTAAGTTCTTCCACGGCTTATCTTATTTCCTGTCCACTATAAGCACATTTGTCACAGTTTGGTATTAAACGTAGAAAATTCAGGTGTAGGTCAACATTTGTTGATTTAAAACATTTTTTCAGATTGTATGCTTCATTTACATTGTTTTAATGTTTTCTTAGAGGTACCTTTCTTATTTGTGATCAGAAATAAACTTTTTTTAATACATTTTCTCTTTTTTTATGTTCCTCAGTCAGGGAGACGGCCATTCCTTTGTCACCAGGCTGGTGCACATAGATCCTGAACAAGCAAACAGTGTCCTCCAACAGAACGGAAAAATGTTTGTATTTTTTTCCCCTGATATTCAGATTTTGATCTTTTTCCTTTGGACAATTGTTCTAATCTCTGTTGTGAATTTAATCACAGTCCTGTTGCTGGAGAGACCAACCTTTCTATGGTTGCTGATGATGAGCCTCACACAGAGGGCAAAAGCAAAGAGAAAACTGGTATGTGTCTCTTTTTTGGTTTTCTTGATTACATTTGTTTTGTTTGTTTTTTTTATTCAACTTCAGGTCAATCTTCCACTTTGCCACTTTTTTGCACCTGCTTTCATATTTGCAAAACAAATAATTTGTAATTCTGCTACATTTGTTACATGTTGAACAATCAAATCTCTAATGTAGGATGGAGCTTGATGTTTATACATGAGGAGAAGTTTGAATTTTAATGTGCTTTTAACAGGACTCTAGTTTTAACAAATGTAAGGCCTAGTTTTTCTGCATCACTGCTGGACAAAACATGTCTGATTTATAAATGGCCACATCTAAGAACAGGGAGGAAAACTGCTGTTTCGATTTAATTTTTATCTGATGAGTAAAAAATTAGGCTTCATACTTCTCTATCTTTCACTTTTTACTTTAGTTTCAGGTTTTTCTAGTTTGTTTTGATCAACTTAGCTGACCACATTATTGTAGTACGACCACACAACTCAATTTAAATAAATTAAATAACCTGTGCTGCTATGGGTGTCGACAAACAGGATTAATGGACGGTTATTATTACTCTTTTTTTGTTGTTGTATTTTTTTAAATACTAAATGGATGTTTGTTTGTAACAAACATCCATTTAGTTTTTGGACAATTAAAAGCCATTAAATAAAGCCACTGTTTTTGTTTTGTAATTTAGATTAAATGCTAAATGTAAATTTTTAATGGTGAAATGATTAATCATCATGAGAGAATTTATAATTGTAAAAAACAAGTCCACATGCAGAACAAAAATGGGTCAAAAAAGCTGAACATATCTGCTTTTAATGCCTTTGTTTCAGATGGAGGTCAGATGGTTGCCGTGACAATGGACAGTGAGCCTTAACGGGTACCTGTTGATACTTTTTAGCCTTTCAAGGTGTTTTGTTCTCCTGCTTTGTTAACCTATATTCTGCCACACTCCCCTGCAGGTCACACACTCCTCTGTAATTATATCAGGGGCATTGCCTTAAACGAGGAACATCAATACCTCCAGGACCATCCGTGGCACCAAAAACAATACTGTTGTCATGACAACGAACTCTCTACAGCAACTTTGTAGACTGCAACAGTCTGAAGCTTGTCAGAGATGTCTTTGTATCGGCTAAAAGACTTTATTTTTTATTAATGGTTTAATCTTAAACAAATCTCTGAGAGCTAGTGTACGTTTTCACTACCTGCACATAGTAACCAGCACACATTTCATCAAGAGATTCATCTTCTCTCAGTATTAACTAAACGTTTCAACGCTAAGGCTTCAATCAGGATCTTTTTGTAGAGCCACTAAAGTATGATTTGATTTACAAGTTTTGAATGATAAGAGACTCTAACGTCATCTGTGTCTGTCACGCGTTATAAATGTTTCACTCCAAACACGGTTCAATTATCAGGGCCTGCAGTAACCTGTCGGATGGTCTCAAACTTTAGTTTACAACATGTTTGGAAATATTTAAAACCCTGTCTTGTTTACACATTTCATACGTTTTCTTCTTCCTAAGTGGTGAAGAAGCACTCATGATGTTGGTTGAAAATGCAAAAGCCAAACCCGGGAACATTTGAATGATTTCAGCAGCATGACCTCGTTGTGCTGCAAAGTGATTGATGTGACTGCAACTTTTCATTCCACTGTTTGTTTTCATGTTTTTATAGTGCAACGTTTATTTATTTGAAAGCAAAAAGCAAGGGAAAATACTAAGGCACAATTAAATTTGGTGAAAGGTCGGGAGCGTTTGGTTCGAGGTGTCCTCGATCCAAAACCACTATGGACAGATGAGGAAAGATTTTTATACCTCGAGCGTGTAAACAATTATATTCCACTCTGTCCTGCCGGTCCTTTTTTCACGAGTACATTCCTTTTAGTGGTAATGATGCACAGCTCCTTATGGGCTTTGACTAATAATTGATTTGTAGATTGCCGTCTGATGTTTATGTCTAACTTCACTGACTGAATATTTAAAGCACAATTTGTTTGCTTCAGCTGCTAATGTATTTAAATTTGTAAATAACCGCTTTTTTATTGCACCAACTGTTGATGCGACAGTATTTGGACTTGTAACAATAAATCTTATTAAAGCACATTTAAGGTGTCATTCTTCATAGTGAGAGTCTGACGTCTTCAGATCTTTATCACAGCGACGCAGCTGAGGTTATTGACATCCCAGTCAGACGAAGTGACTGCCCTTCCTCAGGCGACTGAGTAGGTTTTTTTTTTTTGTGTGTGTGTGTGCGTTTCATGACATCTGTGATCCAAGATTAACAAGAATTACCTAACGGATAAACTATTATTTCTTTTTTTTAATTGGTGTATTCAATTGTTTTTCATTATGACTTTGCACAAGAACTATGGCAGATGATGATTTTTTTAATCCATATTGAAATTCACCAACCTGGCAACCAAGGTAGCATTTTACTTAATTTTGACTTTCAGTTAAGGTATTGATTTTTGAGCGATTTGACACTTAAATTAAAAATAACTTTTTTAAAATTTTTTAGAAAGTTTACTTCCTCAAACTTGCAACTGAATTCACTTCATCTGATGGTTGATGTTCAATTATGGGATGTTTGATTATGTGGAGAAGATAACAGAGAGTGTCAAGATTTAGCTCTCATCAGAAGTAATATATTTTTATCATGCCAATTCATTTATGGACTTGTATATACCCATTTAATTTTTACTGGTATTTTTCTTGTGCAAAATTTTTTTTTTGGGGGGGTTGACATTGTTCTTTGCCATTTTTTCAGGTATTTTATTATTTTATATACATATTTTGTTGTTTTACAAACTATGTCTTTTTTTTTTCTTATTGCTTTGTGTTGAGGTTGAAAAGTGCTATAATGGCTGACTGGACAAACATTTCTAAGCAACTGTCTATAAATTGTACCAGTGAGACAAAAGGTGAATTATTTGCAATTTATGACGAGATTTGTTTTTAAAAATATTAAATTGGATCTACTTTAGTTGATGTTCACTGGTCTCAAAGTTGTTTTAACCTTTACTTACAATTAACATGAAGGACTAAGCATGTGTTAGGTATATCTAGTACCTAAAACTGTATAGTAAAGGTACACTTTTTACACAATTTTGCATCTTTATTTTCTGAAACCCATCACACAACTACCCAACTTCCTTGGATGTCATTGCCATTAGAAGCTGCCTTTGGTAAATATTGTTGCAGGATCACTGCCCTACTCTTAACACAAACTTTAATTTAATCACCTGCTAAACCAGGCTGCTAATGGTTTTTGTAGACATGTTGAAACTATCTTAGTCACACCATTAAAAAAAAAAAATCTAAGGTTTAATGTCAGGTCCTTGTGTCTATTTCCAGAACTTTGAGATAATTATTTATTTCTTTGTCGCATCACCATTGGACTATTGTAATAGTTTTGGCATCAGCAGGTTTTCCCTTGATTGTGATTTGTCCAAAGTGGTGCGTCCCACTTCCTCACAGGTTCACACAAAACCTGATTGCTCTTTAATCTGGACCTTAGCTTTAAGTAAAAATTTAATCGATAACTTATTTAAAACATATAAGCATTCACAATTCTCACAGGCAAGGTGTGTTAAACTGACCTTTCCTCCAGAAAAAAGGTACACGAAGAGTTATTAACAGGACAAACTTAACAACCAGATCAGGTGAATGGCCCCAGTGTCACTCAATACTGTTCTTTTGACAACAGCTGCAAATAGGAAGTAGAATAACAGTTTACACATTATCCAAGATTTTACAATAATCAGCTCCCATTATTGCTGTGCTTACAAGTGTAATGGGAAAAGGCTAAAATGTTTTTTTTTTGTTTGTTTGTTTCTCTAAACACTTTTGCAATCCCATCGCTCATATTTACTGGAACTCTTAAGAATGCTGCTTAATTTAAACTTAATCTTGTATTGAAAACTGTGGACAAAATGTGACTCCAAATTATTGTGGCGTAATAAACGTGAGTTGTAAAATGCTGGAGAAAATTGCTTTTATGTCTTTATACTCCTTTTATGTTTTCAGCTGAGGAATTAACACACCCACTCAAAGTCCAGTCCTCCTTTTTAATGCTCCGTCTCTCCCTATTCACTAACCCCCTGTCCTTGATGTTTCCCTAATTACTATGACTCAAGACTGTGAATGAATAAGCAACGGTAACTGGTGTTTTTACGCTAACCTGTGAGCTGTAGGTCGTCCTCCTTCATTTCATCGCACATGCCTGACGTGTAAAAGGCAAGGTTGTTTCTGTAACCAGAATCTACTTGCAATGTGAAAGGAGCAGCGGATCGCCTCTTACGTTTTTTTTTTTTTTGTTTAGTTGTTTTTTTGTTTTATTTTTACCCCTGATTCTATTCCAAGCTGCAGTCATTTAGTAGAAGTTTTTAGGAAGAGCATCTGGCCACCATGGACGAAGAACTGAACATCACCATTGATCCGGCGTGTCTACGGTTGGAGGCTCCACTGGCTCTGGACATCATAATGCGTAAGTGATCCGCATGACAACATCCTGCTTGCTGATTATGTTTTCTTATCAATCAGTGTGAGCTAATGGTATGAACTCGTAACTGAACGTTGGCCTTTATTAGTCTCTAACTCTGAAAGTACTGACTTATCTTACCCATTTACTGTCCACTGATAAATAATCCAATCTCCTTCTGCTTCTCTTGTTTCTCTGTTTCTCCACACCAGAGCTAGACACGTTTGGGCTTTGCCTCTACTCCATGCTCTCCTTCATGTCCTTACTTACCCTGCTGCTGTACCTGGAGCAGTGTGTGTACATTTACAAAAAGCTGCCTTATCCCAAGAAGATAAGCATTATCTGGATAAGCGGTGCTTCACCAGTAAGCATTACGGACACACATACAATAACTGAATACCGGATACTTTTTGACCTGAAGCATGAAAAACAGAACACAAAAACAACACATTAAAGTAATGCGGATCGTGTGTGACATGTCTGTGTGTGTTTCTATATTTTTTTGCGTCTCAGGTCGTCGCCACCATGGCCTGCTGTGGGATGTGGGTTCCCCGAGCCGTTATGATCACAGACATGACATCAAACTGGTGTGTTTTCTTTCCATTCCTTCGACCCAGCATGGTCACGAAGGCCCCATATGAGACCATTCAGGCCAAGAAGTGGGCCTTTGTTCAAAATTGGACTCTTGTAATGGGGCCCACTTGGGTTGGTTAAATACAACTCATATCAAGAAAGGCAGGTAGTCGCAGATGGGCCTCAAATAGGTTTAAAAAAACAAAACTCAATGTTTACATTTCTCAACACAGATGACTCATAAGAATCTCACTTTTTAGCCAGAGTCATAAGCACTAAATTAGCACAAAGAATTCAAAATGTGGACACGCCAGTTTGGAGCTCCCTTTTCACTCTGTTGTGTTCCCACATGGATCCCAGATCCACCGGATGGAAGTTAGAGCGCAACTCTTCTTATTTTCATTAAATTTCTACGACATGACACTCACTTAAGATCTAGATTTGTCACTATCCCTTCTACCTAAGTTTTACTATAATCCTTTACACAACAGTTGAAGGATAGCAGTTTCAGCAACATATACAATCTGCATTCCTGTAGCATACCAAGGTTGGCGCCTGTGTTTGTTGCTAGAAGACTGCCTGGGGTGAATGGCCGCAGAGCAATAAATATAAAAGTCACGAAACCTCACCTGGAGTTCAGAGTGTAATTTTAACTGCTTGATGGACCATTACACTCAAAGATCAAAGCTCAACCTGCATGGAGAACAGAAAGTTTTTCTTGCCTCTTCTATAAAAAACATATGATTCAGCTTGAATCAAAGCCAGTGGATGTAATTAATAGAGCAAAATAATGTGTGTGTGTGTGTGTGTTTTTCATAAACCGAACAATGTTTGTGTTTAGTAGATTTTGTCTCTCAAGATTTCAACCACCTTTTCTTGCAGAAGTCTTTAATTTTAAGCATGGCAGGATTTGTTGACAGATACTGCTATGTTGTTGAAGACAATTATTTTTCAAGAGATTTATTGTGGTTTGATGGTTTATGAGTATGTTAATTTTTGCATGACCAGAAGAGATGCAATCATTTTTCTAAATGGAACATTTAACTTTGGCTGTATCCGTAGGGCTGTATTTCCATCCTTGATCTGCTTGCATTAAGCACTAAAAAAAAAAAAATTAACAACAAAGATGAAGTACGTCTCAGAAGGTGCAGGTGAATTAACATGCACTAGAACAGGCAAAAATAGTCACGATTTTTGTACATTTTACCTCTGTTCAGAAAAAGACGTATTTGATGAATTAGTTAGTAAAATGTTTATTTTCTTTGAAAAAGCTTAGTGAGGGAAGTGTCATTTATACCTGTTTTCACTTTGACCTCGTGTGCTGCTTGGATGCAGAAAGCAAGTCAATTCTGACTTTAGTTATGCATCAGTTGCTAAATGGACTCTTTTTGTAGCTATTTTGCAGTTGTGGTGTACAAGGTTCTGGCTCTGCTGATTGAGGAGCTTGGAGGCATGAGAGATTTTCTACAACGATTTTCTGGGAAAACCTTCAGGATCAACACAGGACCCTGCTGTTGCTGCTGCGCCTGCTTACCTCGAGTCCCTGTGTCACGGTACTCTTACTTTTTTCCCCTTTGCTCCTTCTTATTGTTACTTACTTTATGTCCAGCCTTTGTTAATTTAAGTATTTTTTCTAGTTATTTGTTTCTTTCAGAGTAACTGTTCTTTCTGTATTGGGCAATATGTCGTTACTGTAAACAATAATCTTGGTTTTTCTTTGCATTGCATTTGCTTAGGGGGATGTTATTCCTGATGAAGCTGGGATCTATGCAGTATGCAGTCCTAAAAACAGTTTTCTCTATCCTTTCTGTTATTCTCTGGATGAACGGCACCTTTCACCTAACCAACGTAAGAGTTTGAATCGATTCTCTTCACACAAAAAATAAAGAAAGAGAAGAGAAACAAGTCAACACTTAAGGATGTTCTTTCATTTGTGTGTGTGTTTTTTTTTTAGCTAAATATCAATTCAGCAATGATTTGGATCAACCCATTTGTTGGTGTTCTCCTCGTCATCTCCATTTGGCCTATTGGTATCGTCTTCATGAACACCAAAATCCTAATGCGCAGTCTGAAAATTATTCCCAAGTATGCTCTGTACCAAGTGAGTCACTTCTTCAGATTTATGGAATGCATATTTTGTAATAAAGTCGAAAAAAATGCGGGTTTAATATTTTTAAAACGTTTAGTTTTGTTGTTTTTGGTAGAGAATGAAATGTGTTTCCAACGCTGACATGTTTCTGTAAGATAATCCAAAAAAAGTTACGTTAAAATTGAGTGTATGTTCCATAAAAAAACCCAACATTTTTGGGATTTGCAAAATATTTAGTACTTGAAGCACTTCAGGTGCTAACTTTCATTGTAAAGCTCAAACTCATTGGATTTGATGGGGAATGTCTGTAAGCACACCATTTTAAGGCTATCCCCAGAAATAGAACATTTCTGGGTTTGACTTGATTATTCTAATACATATATTGATCTAAAACATTCAATTGGAGCTCTAAGTCTATTGAAGGGTCACCCTCATGCTGGGAGGTGACCCTGCACCCCACACCCAACCCTTTTCTAATCCAAAACAACGTTTCTCACAGGATTACTCTGATTTTAGCTCCACCCATCTTCCAGTCAACTCAGACTAGCTGTAAGGAAACCATCTCCACAGCATTACGCTGCCACCTTCATGTTTCATCTTGGGGATGCAATATTAGTAGCATATGTAGACCATAATATCAATTTTTGGCATTCTTCCTCATCGATTACTACATTGTAATTTGGCCACAAGTGGAAGACAGGGGTACAAATAGTGTTGCCTGACACCGTATCAATTTCAAGAGCTACAACACTGTAAACATTGTGACTCCACGGGCATGGACATCAGGTGAATTATTTATGCTCCTTTCAGCTCACGCTTGTCCTGTGTCAGCTCCAGACGTCCATCATCAACATCCTGGCCTTGAACGGATGCATCGCCTGCGCCCCTCCCCTCACCTCTTATGCTCGCGGATCCAGTAAGAGACAAAATCTAAATGGTTTTCAGCGACTTCAGCTGAAACATTGCAACTTGTGTCACGTCTTTTTCTCGCTGTGTGACTTTTCTGTGTGGTCCCTGCAGTGTTGAGTCAGCAGATATTGATTATGGAGATGTTCATCATCAGCCTCTTCACCCGGTCTTTGTACCGCAGATTGTATGACCCACTTCCCTCTGAGGAGCACGACAATGAGCAGAACGAGAAGGCGGCCCTGAAGGCTGCTCTGGAGGAGCACGACGTTTGAAAGACGAAGGCGGAATGTCAGCACCTGTGTCTGACATGAATATAGGAGGCGTATGAGTTAGAAAATTAGATATTTACATGTTTTACCTTATGATGTTTAAGGACAGGGTGCTTATTATTTATCAAGTAATTTTAAAAACAACTTACAGGGCACTTTTCAAAGTGAATTGTTTGTAGTTTATTATCTTTGTATTTAGGTGATGGAATTTTCTTTCTTCATAATTACAATATATGGACCCAGACTGTGCTAAATGGGGAATGTTTACTTCTGAGTATGTTTGAGCCTCCCCCCTACAACCAAACACAAACCCACTACCCAAATATCACTACTCTAAAAAAAACAACAAAAAAAAAACAGTAACTTTTCAGTCACTAATTTATCAGACCAACTAAAAATTTTGTTTTTGTATTTAGTCTCGAATTTTACAAATAACTTGTTTCGTGAGCAGCTCACTTTATGACTTCAATGTTGCCTCCCCCAGGACATGCTGCCCAGGGCAAAAAGCCATCTCACTCATGTCAAAAACACCGATTAAAAGTGGGAAAAGTATTTTTGGCCAATCACATTGATCTACTGGATTCTTTTGCCTTATTCCTTCTTATGTACATTTCTCTCAGATAATTATTAAGTGATATTGAAGTCTTTATTTGAAGTTCATAAATGGACGACGTTTGGGTTTACATTTGAATAAAGATTACTTATCTAAAATGTATTTATATTCAGTTATGTGCCTGAGTGTGTGCGTCAGTAAGAAGATGCGACTATGAGGTGTGATCTAAAATGGCGACTAATTTTGTATCAAAGTGGGAAACGTACTGAAAAACTTTTGTTTTTTTTTTATTTTATTTGTTCATTAAAGCTTAAAGTTTCTCACATCTGTTTCCCTCGCTGCATTGCATCATTTGCAGGTGCATCATTAAAAGGCTGATTTAGTTCCAAAAATGTGAAACTCTTGTAGAATCAAATCAGTGATTTGATTCTATAAGTATTATTTTTCTGTTATTTTGCCTCTGGTTTTAAGGCAACAGTTGTAGGCCAGGTCTTGGATACATCTTGGGTGGTGTCTCTTCAAGTCCTGTTTTAACACAATCCACGGCCGTGGACACACTCTAGCACAGACTCCTCTCAAGGCTACAATAATCATTATTGCTTCTACAGCTATTTCTGCCATGCTTTTTTCTTTCTCCTAACTTAACTTTGATGTACTCTGAAACCTGCCAGCTTCTTTTTCACTGACCTTTTGTGGCTTTCGTTCCATAAAGACAGAGTCAGGGACTGTTTACTGGACAAGTATCAATTCAATTGTCTTCCCTATTGCAGGCCATGACTTTTGAGTAACAAGACTATTTTTTATTTGGATTTATGTAATCTAATTTTCTGAGCACATAAATGTTGGATTTTTATTAACAGCAAGCCATAAATATCAGAGGAAAAAATGCTTGAAACATCACTGTGATGATTGTATGAAATTCGAGTTTGAGTTCAATTGACAAATATACATACGCACGTTCTGCTCTCAAGCATGTACAGAATCATGCAAAGAAACAGCAGACAGATTTGTTCAAGGACTGCTGACCCACTTACACAGACTCATAAGGGCGCGGCAGAACATGTGGATGAGACAGCAGCTTTATTTTGGGACCCTTTACTTGCAAACTGTGCCACATGTTGTTCCCAATACAACCACAAGAGGTCGCATGAGTTTGACCTCAAAACCTTTTGTTAAAACCTAATATATTTCTTTTCCTCCAGTAAATATCCATTTTAAAATCAAAATAAATTGTTTTATTTTATTCTGTTTGCCCCTTTGTTTTAATAATTTTAAAGTTATATACATATCTGGATTTAGTTCAGAGTTATGCCTTTATTTAGGCAACATGTACAGTCAATGAACTTACAAGAATCTTACAGTAGGTCAAATGCAAACTATTTCCCCATTTTTAATAATTGTAAACACAGCTTTTCTGTAGATTAAATATTTTTGCATTTAACAAATGTACATTTGATTTAATTTTTCTTTTTTTCAGAGTATGATTATGTATGATGCAGGCGAAAAAAGCAAATATGTGTAAGACTTCAGCTATTTACAGTTGTTTTTTCATTGGCACTTAGGTTATTTGCAATAATTTGCCTGAGAGTTTTTTATATATATATATATATATATATATATATAAAGCCAGGTTGTCCGATTCTGAATCTATTAATGGAGCATTTGTCTTTGCTGTTTATGTAAACACAGTCATCAGACAGAGAAAAAGAGAAGGCTGTGTTCAGACCGAGCTGATGACAGCCCCTGGCTCCGCATTGGTGACGAAAGCTGCTGAGCTCCTCAGTTGCCATGGCAGCCAGGGAGAGCAGCCAGACTAAAAAAAAAAAAATGAGCAAAGCAAAGGGGAGGTGCTTTGGAGGGAGAAGTAGAGGAGAAAGGGTTGGATGGGAACCACAGAGGGAGGGAGGGATACAGGAGGCTGATAAAGAAACGCAGTGAGAGCAGCAGATAGTGTACGACTACAAACGGAGATAAAGCGCTGGATATAAATGCTCAGTCTTCAAGCTCTGGAATAATAACTCCACCAAGCGACAAAAGGATACAGAAATAGGTGGGGGGAGATTTACAGAGAAGATGGATGTACAGACAGAAAACACGGACCCCCCGCCTAATGAATCGCAGCCTTCTGGAAAAATCAGAAAAGGATTCAAACTGTTTGGAAAACGTAAACCAGGTAGCATTTTTTCCATCAGAAACAAAGGAGACGGAAACAACAAGTCACCTGTTATCAGGAGTAAAACCTCAGAGGGATTATACGAGACTCCCGCTCAAGATTCAGAGCAGGAGCAAGATAAGGAAAATGGAAAAGACGTGAAACAAGAAGATGGGGAGCAGCCAGAGGAGGAAGCGCTCGGTGAAGATGGCGTTCTGGCTACTGCCCCTGCTCGCACCTCCATCTCTTCAGCCAGCTCGGCCAAGTCCCTTGGTTTCCTCTCACTGCTGAGGGGTGGGAAAAGGGGAGCGGGGGACCGAAGAGTGCACACAGTGTCGCAGCCTGTGGCTCGGCAACGTCGTGGTCTGAAGGGCCTCTTCAGCAACGTCAAGCTCAGATCGAAGGATAAGGAGGACAAAGAGGAAGCCCCTCCGAGCCCACTTCTCCAGTCTTCTCGCACTAACAGCGTGGAAATCATAAAAGAGGACATGACACTCACACCCAAATGCCAGCCTCGTGCTCTGGACAGCCCTGAAACCGAGAGGACAGGACCTGTCCAGAGCTCAGCCACGACCCCGACAAAGACCTCGGCTGCCCAGGTGACATCTGCCGAGAACGTGAGTACGACATACGAGCACGTGTCCCCGTTGCTTACCCCCGAGCCCCCACTGGTACCAGGTGATAACAGCCTGAGCTCACTGCTGGCAGATATCTCCTCTCTCCTGACCTTTGACTCAATCTCAGGGGGTGGAGACATCATGGCTGATGTGGAAGCAGAGTGGGGTAAAGTTAGCAGTGCCATCAGTGCTGACATCCCTCCATCATCTGCATCTCCTTTCGTCAAATCTACCCTCTCCTCCTCTCCTACAACCTCCTCAACAGTCAGCAGTGCGGCTACTGTAAAAGCCTCGTCCGTAGCCGTCTCTTCTTCATCTTTGAGTTCTCACTCGGTCGAATTGAGTTCTGACTGTGCTCCTGCCAGCACGCAAGGTAATCAATCCTCTGCTCCCACTTCAGCAAGGTCCTCAACTGTTCCCTCAACATCCGTGACATCTTCCGCTTCCAAGACGACTCAGTCCACAACGAGCTTCATCTCTACCACAACCGCACCTCCTCCATATGCATCAGCCCCTGTAGGCAAAGCTTCTTCATTCAGTCCAAGTTTGACTAGTACAGCTGACAAACTGGCTCCAGAGATTGTGCGGGCTCCTCAAAATTTTGCATCTGTAAGTAAACCTGATCGTGTGTCTGTATCACCTAAACCTGTCCCAGTACCTCACAGTCCTCCCGTCTCCGTCACCCAACCTCCCTCCAGTAGTAGTTTTAACGAGGACAAGTCCACTTTTTTCAAACCCTCTCAAAGTTCAGCGGTGGGAACATCCATCGTCCCCTTCACATCATCGGCAACCTGTACGATTGCAACTACATCCTCATCCTCTGCGCCAATCCTTTCCTCACAGATCACATCCGCCTCTACGTTAACCACAACTTCTGGCTCGACATCCAAGTCCACCCTGACCCCTAACCATCTGGACCTTAATAAAACAGTTTCTGATCCTGGCCCTTATTCAACCTTCACTGCTACAATTAAAACCCAGCCCAGCTCTGCGTCTGTCCCAGCTCCGTCTTCAGCTTCATTAGGCAAAATTCCTCCCACGACCAAAGCCTCCATAACATCAGTTTCTTTAGATAAGATGCTCCCAGCTCAGCCTGCAACAGCAGCTGCCCCCACTCATGTTGCTTCATTATCATCACTGACTCCATCTGCCGTGGAGCAGATGAAAGTTTCTCCTGCTGTTACATCAATTCCTGGGTCGAAAGAACTTTCTGCTCCAACTCACGTTGAAACTTCTCAGCCTAAAGTTTGCTCTGCCCCTCCTAAAGTCCCAGTTTCTGTATCTGAGGATCCATCTGGTCCAGCTAAACCGCAGGACTCTTTAGTTAAAGTTCCTGCTGAGATCCCAGTTTCTGTTTGTAAAGGTCTGTCAGCTCATGTGAACATGCAGGAGTCTTTGTCTAAAGTTGCTACTTCCTCTGATGAAATCCCAGTTTTTGTATCTAAAACTCCTCCTGCACCTGCCACATCCAAATTTTCTGGATCTCAAACCCCCGTGGCATCATCTGTAGACGCCCCCCACCCTCAGTCTTTCCCTGTTTCTCCACCGAAAGCCACACTCGCCCCTGTTTCCCAGACTAAAACTCCTGAGCTCAAACTTGCTTCCTGTCCTCCTCCCCCTGTGTCGTGTCAGATAGATACACCGTCCTCTGCTAAGGTTAGGGGTTCTGTGCAGGCATCGACTGATAGTCTGGACGGAGAAGGGGGACAGAGGAACCAAGGTGTGCCGTCAAAAACAAAAGAACAGCACCACGAGCTTCCCCCCAAAGAAAAGAAGACGCCACAGTCAAAAGCAATGGGCTTAAGTAAAATACCTGTGGTTGGTGGAGGAAAAGTCAGCAGGCAGCCTGTTCGGGAAAACCAGCATGACGAACCAAGCAAGGACCTCACTTCACCTGTGCTAGAAGAGAAACACTATTTTAACTCACATAATGCAGGGGGAAAAGATAAAATCAGCTCACCGGAGGCAATCGGGCTGATCTCAAAACAGCTCCAGGAGGAGCATCAGCAGCCTCAGCAAGCAAAAGTTCCTACAAGCTCAGCGCGTGACTCAAAAATCCCTCTGAAGCACGGCAGCGGGTCTCACACTGCATCGCAGGTCTCTCAGACGAAAGAGCCCCCTCGTACAAAGATCCCTGTGTCCAAGGTGCCCGTCCGCAGGGCTGGTAATAAACCTGCCACTGCAGGAAGCAGCACGCAGATAAGAAAGTAAAAAAACAACAACAACAAAACACACTGGACGGAAACGATTAATAATGTAAATCATAATTTTTAATCCACATTTCAATACTGTAACTCTTTCTTTACTTTAACACACCAAGAAGTATCAAAGAAATGGGTCAGACAGCATTCAAGCACAAGCGAACATCTCTACGGGGAGCTGGAGCAACAATCTGGATCTTTGGTGTTGAGCTGGTCGGACACGCGCTCAATGGTCACACCTGGACACCTGGCTGATGAACAGCTAGAGGAAAGGACATGTGGGGGTCACAGACACACAAACAGGGCGAGTGCCTTTCTCAAGGGTGCTTTTCCGACAGACTCAGATTTTCTTCAG